CGTGCTCAATCCGTTGCACGGTTGAGCAAGTGCAGGGGGCGGCTGTGGTGAAGTGCTAATTTTGTGATATGAAGGTCCCGGACTCCAGTTGGATTCAGAGTATAGGCCGTAGGTCAGGGACAGGGACAGGGGACCAGAGAGACAGGGGCCTCGAAGGGGAGCGACCGTTGGTGGAGGACAATCCGCAGGATCCGCCGAAGAAAAATCAGTATCAGGGTACCGGTTAACCGGTACCAAAGGGAGTTGATCATGGCCGCTCATTGATCGACCTGGCCCCTCGTTGGTAGACCCGGGTCCCTCATTGGTCGACCCGGTCCCTCATCGGTCGACCTGGGTCCCTCATTGGTAGACCTGGGTCCCTCATTGGTAGACCCGGTCCCTCGTTGGTCGACCCGGTCCCTCATCGGTCGACCTCGGCCCCTCTTTGGTCGACCCGGTCCCTCATTGGTAGACCTGGGTCCCTCATCAGTCGACCTCGGCCCCTCGGGGTTCAGCCACTCCGTACCAGTTAATACAAGGATCAGACTAGTCGACGCAAGGAATCAGAGCTTCAGGCAAGGATAGAGTAAAGGAGGTAAAAGGATAGGACTATATTAAAGACTACTCAATTTGCGATCTACTTGGCAAGTCTTCGTCGCGCTGTAAAGGAACTCTAGTCTGGCCACACGCCTGTTCCGGGGAAGGGATATATTTGGCCCCCCCCCGTTGAAGACAGGCGTGTGGTCCGAGCCAAGTGCGAGCTGAACCCCACGTGGCACGACTCCGTCACCCAAGAAGAACTTGCTCTAAGCTACTCACTGTGCCGGGAAGGGATGAATTTTGGCCCCCCGTCGAAGACAGTTGTGTAGCGAAGTTCAAGTGCGAATAGAGCTCCAGGATATATTTGGCCTGTGAGCTCGTTCGAGTAGCAACACCCCCCAAGACCCGCTATCGGAAGCGGTCTCCCTCACCTCAAGGTCCGGGAGCAACGTAAAGGTCAGGTGGTTAATACCCCTGAAACAGAAGGAAAAGGCCAGGGACGACAAGCGCCCCTGAAGAATTTGGCTCTAAGTCCACTCTCGACAAGGTCGATCGAGTGGCCACCTACCGACCCACCGAGTGAAGCATATCCACTCGAGGCCCCCCAGGTCTACCTCCCTCAAGGCAGACATCTACATCGTCACCAAGTCCTCCGAAGAGTGCAACCCGCCATCCGACGGGTACACAAGGTGAGAGAAGGTTCATACGCGGCATCGGGGTACCCCCTCCGACAGTCGGCAGTCCGGCACAGTGAGTGGTTTGGGGTCTCATCATACAATTTTGAGAACCCACTCCACCACATTGACACTTCAGGCCAACTATCCTGAGGTCCAACTTGCGCTGCTTGAGCCGTCACATCACCTAACGTGGAGAGGCTAAAGTGTATGTCGCCTGGAACAGGTGAGGTGACGAAGAAGCTTGGAGAGGGCGCTTCAAACTGTCACGTGTACTGCAAATTCGAGCATTTTTTTCCATCTAATTCTTGGTATGATTTTCTTGCTCAACCCTTACCCTTCGCTATGGATGGTGCCACATGTCAGCTTCTGAAAGACAAGCTGGCTCTTATAGCGCCCTAAACTTGTACCGTCCTTACACGGTAGGGACAAATTTTGTACCTTCTATGACGTCGGGAACCTGGACCAATCGGGGCCCTGGATTCTCGGGGCACTGACCTTCGATGTCCTGGACCTTCGAGGCCCTAGAACCTCGTGACAATAGACATTTGGGGTTATGGACCTTCAAGGCCATGGACTTGTACTGTCTCTGCAAGATAGGGAAACCTTAAACTTTCTTTGATCGCAGGGGTCTGGACTTTCGGGGCACTAGACCTTCGGGGTCCTGGACCTTGTCATTACCTAAATGGAGTGACCTGGGTTTACCACAGCAGTTATATTAATAGCTGCCGTGGAACTTCAATTCACCTGGTACTTCTTCACAATTGTCCAATTAGTAGTTAGAGTTATATATAATTATTTTCTCTTCAATAAGTCAGTTTTAATTTACTCTATTACCTCACTGCGCACAGGAACACTTCTTACAGACGCAGTTCAGTGCTTATTCATAAGTTTGTTGCGTGGTTCGCCGGGCGACCGGCAACTATCGTGCGGCTCTTTGGCGTCGACAAACTTCACCACCTTGCACGGAGGTAAGACGGTCTAACCGCTTCCTCCCGTGTGCAGAAAGTGTGTGTCAGTAGCACGTGGCAGCTTTCTAGAAGTCCTATCTACAAATGTGTTTAATCGATGGCACGAGCTCAGGATGTGAAGGATACTGATGTGCCCCCTACATCGGCAAAGAGTACGAGATTCTGTTTGACTTTTACATCGGGCCCACCTCCAATTTGACAAATAACACTGTGCTATATCACTTGATAATATAGAAATAGACATCGAAACATTACATATACATACAACCTGTATTTGGATGAGGATTTTAGCATCCTACTTGTGAAGTTAGTGTAGCGTCAATAAGCACCTGGGAGGTAAGATAGTTCGGTCTGGGGGGGACATGTGACCCATCTTCGTGTATGTGATATTATTCAGTAATATTAACATTGAAGGGGCAGACACCCAGTTTGGACTAGGCTTCATTAATGACGTCACAGGCGTCCGTCATCAGAGAGCATATATATACTTAAGCTCGCCACGTAGGGAAATACGCACGCAAAGTTGTGATTTTGAGATGTTTAAGCGCGGCGCCCCTTTTCAGCAGATCTACCGATTGTTAGCGTATCAATTGTCATTTCGAACTCCGCTTGTATACAGGTGAAAATTAGTTGAAAAGAAAATCGTCTAATTGGGTATGCACGTTTGATGAGATTCATTGATCTCATTTCTTCTCCTGGATTTCTCGGCGCTTTGTGAGTTTTCAGCCTTGTTAGTGGCGGCTCGGCATCTTAACACGTAATATTATACCTGTTCTTGACTCGGAAGCACTAGATTGTATTACCATGTAATAGGTACACCGGGGTTTTTTTTTTATTAATTGAGTAACTACCCAGGTCTTATTTACTCACGTAACTTTTGAATCTTCCCATATAAATGACAAACATGTTACATATGGACATATATAGCCCGTTACACCATTTCCCTTCGTGAGAACGATACATGCATACTTTTGCAAAACTATCGTAGAGAATTAAAAGGGACAGCAAGCGCCTACGACGCGTCGCTTAGTCCACTCGTAGTTACTCCACAGCAGCCTGTGCATCTACCTTTCGAGGCTACTACACAGGGCGCTCTTGATGCCACCGAAATGGGCCAGATATGATGGGCCACCTGCAAGGCAACAAGCACAAAGCGTACGCGCCACGAGCCGCGTCGCCTAGTGTCTCTGTTGCAACGCCGACTAGTAAACTCGGTCAGTCAACAGAGCACAAAAATCCATCTCATTTACAAAGTGGAAAAAGGATCCGTTTCTTATGGTGGACTACAGTGATAGCACGTTGTTGCCATCGCCACAAAATAATGATGAGCCCAGCGGCTTGAATGCACATATGTCCTCTATAGGTGAAGTATTTAACATTCTAAGAGTGAAGTTTATGCCTCTTCGTACTTGCGGCTGCCTATCCTGCTGCCTTGAAGTCGCAGGCGGAGAACGCTGCGATGAAAAGAGAGGTGGTGGATTTTTCAAGTCAAGTCTCGCGACTGACTTCGGATCTACGCTCTGTGAATGCAAGGGAACGTCAGGGGTATGACCTCCTGAAGACTTTTTTGGACATACATGAGCGACTGGTGATGAGAGACTCGCGACCAACGCGGAACCTCCTCGATCACCGAGTCCTCTGTCGTCGGTTTCGTATACGGGAAGTCGTTCAACTTCCCCTTCGCCTGAGCGGCAACGACTCTCGACTCACAGACGACGTCACCATCGGTCTCGTTAGACCGATGCGGATATGTAATCTCTTGTGGATCCACATACCGTTTCAGACGACCCAAGTAAAATACGGGGTGCGCCTTCATATACGGTGGGAGAGCGAGCCTATAATTTAGGTCTCCAACTTCTTCAACCGCTGTAAAGGGCTCAATGAACCGGGGCAATAGCTTAGTAGTACCGCCAGGTAGTACAGAAATTGCATGTTTAGGTAGGGTAACAGTACTTAATAGCACTTTGTCCCCCCACACTAAAGTGTTCATTGTTTTTCGACCATGTTGGTCCGCGTATTGTTTTTTCTTGTCCTGTGCGCTTGCCATCGCGTCACGGACTTTACGTGTGATTGCTAATCGCTTATTCACAAAACGCTGAGCTTCGTTCACGCTTTTAGCATCCAGCTCGCCTATGACGCCTCCAAGAGGTCGTTCATGGGTCGACGCTGTTGATAACACTATAGTGTCATCGTCAAGGAGCACTGGCATTTCTTGCCGTGCCTCCTTTGTGACACCTATAGATGTCGTGACCACTGCTAAATTAGCAGTGTCACTAGGGCAACCTTGGCCCTCTTTGGCATTTGCACCGAGCGAAGTGAGGGGCCCTACCCACTAAGACTCGGGCTGCGTACAAATGAGACTGGCGTCCGAGGATGACGCAGTCCGTTAATGTAAAACGGTGTTTCACCGTACTGGCGTGAACACTGTTATTGATAGCGAACTCCACGAATGACAATTGCTTGCTCCATTCTTTGGGAGTCGCTATTGTACGCAACACATCCCGCCACGACTCGATTGGCCCGTTCGGTTTGGCCATCAGTTTGGGGATGATCAGCTGTTGACATGTGGACCTCGTCGTCTCTTTACACAAGATCTCTTTATTATTATAAGTCATTACAGCCTTAGTCCCGATTAGTGACCGTAAAATTTATCTTACCAATGCTCCTATGTTAATTGTAATTGTAACGACAAAATTGGATAAAGAGATGATTTTTTTAAAAGTTAGGCAAGTTTGCACATTATGTACCGATTAGTCAACTTACGCAACATTGTGTCATCGGCACCATAAACAAATTCAATTTTTAATTCCAGGTTGTCAAATTAAATAAAAACACCATGCAGATTCAGATTAAGGTACGTCAGTGCTGGAAGTCTAAGCATGTCTTATGAGTTGTTGGGTCAATTAATGTTAATAATGTGCTGATGTAGACACTCACGGGTCGAAAGCAGACGTTCAACTTCGAGCCGGACAACACGGTACGATAATACTGCTTAGGTGTTGATATCGCTTAGAGAGCAATGCTGACCCTCTTTTATTTATTATAGATATTACACGTGAAACAGGCATTACAGGAAAAGGAAGGCATTCAGGTGGACCAAATTCGTCTCATTTACAGCGGCAAACAGCTGTAAGTTGTTATTGCCCAGAGAGTGAAAGTTGAGGCCTTTCGCTACTTTCGGTGTGACGCTGTATGTATTCTTTTGTGTATACAGAGCGGACGATAAGACGCTGCAAGATTACAATGTGGCAGCGGGTGGTACTATCCACATGGTGCTGCAGCTCCGGGGTGGATGCTAGACGATGTTCTGAGTCTTTTTGAACGGTGTAAGTCGAGCAAAAAGGTTAAAGCGGTTAGAATAACACGTTAGGCCTCCTGTTGACCTCCCGGTTCCAGCTACAAGCAGCTTCTTATGTTCGTGTATAACCACGCTAACTCTTTAATGGAATGGTGGCTTTTTCTTTTTCTTTTCTCTTTCTTATTGGGCATTGTTGGCTTTTGCTGGGTTAATAGCAGCAGCGTTGCGGGCATCAGCTTGCTGCTTGATCAATGGTGTTAACTCTTGCTTTTCGGCCAAAGTCTTAAGCAGCTGGACAATAAACGGGATATAGTTGTGCTTACGGCGCTTATTTTCTAGAGCCCAGTTCTCGCGTCTTTGCTGCTCCGCAGCAAGATCGATCTGGATCTGCGCCGCCTGCTGGTCACTTCCACCAGTCTCAATGATCCTCTGAAGCTGTTTTTCATACGTCTGTATCCGATTTTGCACCAGCGCCAGTAAATTGAAGCGTAATTCTGACGCCGCGTATTTTTCGATCCGTTTCTGAATTACGGGACACGCTACTTGCAGCCACGAGTCACGATTTTCGATGTCTGGCACGTCACCTAGACAAATCGGACCTTCTTGGAGTCCATCTAGCTCGTAAATTTTACCATTCATTGGCACGAAAGCTACAAAATGATAGACATCGTCATCTTTCGTCGCTTTTCTCTCCTCCACCACGAACGGTTCTGCCCGGGCAAAAGAATTGTGAGCCAAGCGAATTTTGTCACTGTTGGAAATGGCGAGACCCTTGAGATCCGATGGAAAATCACTTGTAAAGGTCCTAAATTCCGACAACGTTTGGCCCAATTCAATGTCCTGGGAATTGAGTAAGATAGATAGAATGGCCTGAGTGGCACAGGCGTTGCTAATCATTTGCTTGGCAAAAAAGAGGCCATCTTCCTCGTTAGCAAACACAGGGCATTTGGCGTCTTCCTCGCGCTTGGACTCGTATCTGAATAAAAATATGAGGCCGTAGACGGGCGATAGATCGGAGAGCTGGAGTCCGTCCAACGTATAGAGCTCCTCGACCTGAACACCCTGTACACCAATGTCTTCGATGAGAGCCGTAAATACGCCTACATACAGAGAAAAAGAAGAAAAAAGGTGAGATTAAGTGGTAAGGTCGAGAAATTAGAGGTAGGGAACGTACCAGGATCGGATTCGATGGTGCACCACGACATTTCTTGGGCAGGCGGATAGTAGTCGCTTTTGCAGTATCTTATTGATTACAAGATTTATCCAACATGGTAGAATTATTGAGTCTAAAAGGTTATCGGATATTAAGAATTAGACTAGGATGAACTATTTTGGTCGTGCTCTCTTCAAATAGTCCAGTCTTTATTGCAATTATGTAAACTTGTCGTCAATATGCAGTCGTGTACGACCTTAGCCAACTTCCTGTCCTCGTAGTTATGTAGACAAAGGCCTTGTTGGTATTCTTTGGATCCTACGCCCTACGGTTGAAGTTTCATATAAGCAGTAAGGCAGTCATCGAACATTGTGTGCTGAGCTCCGCGATGCCGGTAAAGATGCAAGTCGACGGAATCTTTAGCAAAAATGCCAACACATTTGATCATCCAGTTCACGTGCATCTATTTACAAACCATCTTTACCCTGCTTTATTTCGTCAGTCGTATCACTGTCTCAATTTATGTGTCCTGTATTTGTATATAAAGCGTTACCTCAGCAGTACCATGAAGAGAGCGATGCAGGCTGTAAAGGTGTCAAAGTAATTTTGGCGGAACAGAGCAAGTCGTGGAAAAGTTTCGACTTAGTATCTCGTTCTTGTATGAAGTGATCTCTGAAAGCTGCCGAGCGACGCGTTGACGGAGCGTTTAGTGTTGCCAGCGCATGACAAGGCACTAAAGGAAGTCTTTATTGAAGCGACTCCCTGTTATCAGGTCTCTAGCGAAGCTAAATGTATTATCCGCTGCCACTGCACGTGCCGTTTCAAAATTAGAAGATCGTCTTTATCAATTTCATACCAAGAACAGCGTCCCACTAGTCCATATGTACTCGTGTTGTGTTGTACATGTTGCATGATAAAGACTGCAAGTTTTGTTTGGTACAAGGAGAAGCTCGTTAAGCTTTTCCTTCTACGGTACAAGGATAAGCTTAACGAGCTTTTTTAGAACGTCGGTTTCGGTAGAAGTTCTACCGAAACCGACGCACTCTTTCCGTTTACTTCAGCTATAAGTCTTCGCATGCTTAGGTAAATCAACGCTAGGTACACGAGAGTGCGGATACCTGTTGAACAGTCATAATTTCACATTAGTTGTGGTATGATGTCGCCCTGTTGCGAAAGCTTTTGTTTCTTATCTTTTCTCTTAGCGAGACTGTCATGCGCTGCTTTACTCGATGGTATTCATGAAAAATCTCGGCCTCTACGTGTTTTTAGCGTGTGCTTTCTCCTCTTTCGTATCGTTTTCAAAGCCAAGTAAGCACTGATCAAAAATAGTAAGCAATAGATAACTACATCGACGATTTATTCAGCTAATAACAAAGTAAGCGTCGGTTAGAGACCACTAGATCACCACGAAACATACACCGGTAGGTGGTCAGCCAGGGTGGCCAGCCAAAGGGGCACCGTAGTCACCACCCATCAAACTTTCCTAGACCACCGAGGCTCGAGTCACACTGCTTCCTTTCTTGTCATTCCTACCTTCGCTATACCTTCATCGACGGAAAATACAAACATGTCAAAGGATCGTGCTATTCTGTCAAACAACACAATTCGCGCATATAAAAGCATGAGGAATATCTGTATTCCAAAAAAGTATGAAGCAAAAGATTCACGACTTGTAATGTAACTGGCAATAAGAGTTGTATCCGCGCCATATTTCCGCGTCGGGGTTTGTCGTCAGCGTAGCCTTCTCCAACTTGAACATTTTCCAGATCTCTTGTCGTGTTCTACCATCACGGAGCCACTGATTGAACTGCGCAGCTTGGTATAGCCTTGCAATTGTCTCTGTATCTTTCACCTTCTTCGCGGCCTCAAGCATACATGCTAGCGCTCGGTCACCGAAAAAGTATGTGAATATTTCGATCTGTGTAATTGGTCTACCTGGCATTTTCCTGTTTAACACCTTCAAATACTCGAGAAAAGTCCTCAAGTTTGGGCTGGTGAGAAGATCATCTACTTTAGTGTTAAGATCCAGTGCCTTAAAATGTTCGTGAGCAAGGGAGGTCTTCGCTTTTAGAAACTTCCCCACCGCAGTTTCCAACTTCACCGTATATTCCATCAGTCGGATAATCGGCTTTGCCTCCTTAAACATTTTGGACAAAGTGGTATCACTGTAGTGCTTCAGCAACACTGATGCTATTTCCGTACTTGCGCCCTTCCTCTTGGTCACGACCACGTAGTTGTACCACGTAATTAGCTCTAAATTCACAAAAATGTCACTTCCTAGTTTATCAAGCTCCAACATGGTGAAAATATCGTCTGCAGATTTTCCGGCAGCAATCCAGTTCCGCCGCTGTTCTATGAGCAACCTCACCGCCATTTTCCATTTTGTATCAAATACGGCTCGTTGTATTTCCTTTGCTACAGCTAAATCGCCATAAGTGTTGGTGAGCAATTGAACTATTGACACCTTGTTGTTTGGGTTCTTTTTGTTAAGCATATCGACATAGGTCACCCAAGCGTAAAACTTGGGGTTGACTAGAATGTTTTCTAGTTTGTCGTCAAGCTGAAGTCGCTTGTAAATATCTTCTGCGATTTGTTGCGTCCAGAACCAATACCAAGCTTTTACCTTATTTTTGATCGTCGCAATCAATGACTTGATAAAGTTGGATATCATGACATCGGGGGTAAGCGGAATCCCCGCTCGTTCCTCTAAGTCTGTCGTCTCTTCAAAAAGTGTCGTAGTATCTTCATGTTGGAATGAAGTCAATGAAGAGTCGGAGGTTGTCAATTGCGAAGCCTTAAGAGCTTCATTGTCTGCTAGAACAGCAGCAATTAGTCCGAATAGATGACCGCATGGGTATTGAATATTTCTTTCTGTTATTTTTGTAATAAAGATAACTTTTGACTGGACGGACAGCTTCAAAGTATGCGACATTGCTAGCAAAATTTTGCATAATTACAGCAAGCTGATATTCGTGCCCTATGGTACCTGAAGATGGTTAGCTAACGTGATATTACGTACGAAATTATAATTGGTCCGGTGACTTTGTGGTTTAAGCGTACTTTGTGATGCCAACCTCAATGTAATCGGTTCGTAGCGGGCTTGTTGGATAAGCGTAAACTATATAGGTCTAAGAATCAACGATGGTTGCTATAAGCTCTGCGAAGCCGACCAGACAAGCCAGCCTGGACTCGTCTGTGTTGTGATATGTTCTTAAGTTGGAGCCGTTGGAACATCTCACGTCCGTTTACCGATGCCGATGGTGAAACGTGGAAACAATGGAGAAGGGAAACGGTGGAGATCAGAACGGGACGAGTCGACAAACGTTGGTGACAAGGTGGTGGTTCGCAGGTTCGCTGCAGCCGCATACATGAAAGCTCAGTTAGAAAAGTGAAAAGTGCAAGACAAGTCGTCAGTAAAGTGCAAGGCAAGTCGTCAGTAGCCAGAAAAAGCTAAGCTAAGTAATATATATCTTCGAGTGTCAAGAGATATATCTATATATTTAGCATAGCTGGACGCTACAGAGAGAGTGCAATAAAGAGAGATTGCAACAGGGTTATAAGCCCAAGCCTGACCAAGGCTTAAGCATAACCAAGAAACGGCGACGCATTTACGGGCTAAGGCTGTAAGTGTTTGTGTGTGCGAGAAAGACTACGTTTGTCAGGAAGGACAAACGTAAACCTACCTAAGAGCTGGGATAACATGTCAAACAAGGTAGAGCTGAACAACAACGGACGACCTGTAGGATGGCATGGGCAATCCTGGGCGTACTACAAAGGGATGATGAAACTGACCTTTGAGGAGAAGGATGTGTTGGATTATGCTACGGGAAACAAGATTCTCGTAGGTAATGCAAGTGCAAACGAAGTGAAAGCGTTTCGAGAGGCACAAGTAACGATCAAGCAGCTTATTCTTGCTTCTCTATCAATGGAGTTGGGGCAGCGTGTGATAACGAAATCAATCGGCACCGAGATGTGGAAATACTTAAAAGACCTTTACGAGGGAAAGACTAATGCTGCAACGAGAACAAGCCAAAAATTATCTTTTACCGCGGTCGTATCCTTGGGCTTTTACTGATCACACGCATATAATTGATCAAAAGCATGTTCATGATTAAAGATCAATTGGTTACTGTGAACGCAGGTATTCGGGACCCGATCTTTACGCAGGTGTGAATTCGATCGTTGCCGGCGAATGCGCGCTATGATCGTCTGAGAGGCATGATTGAAAGCGGGGACGACAAGGTGGACACTTCTGCAAAAGTGAAAAGATCAGATTTTGCGAATGGATAAATTTAACAAGTGTGATCGGAAGCTTGGTGCCCATGGTGTCATTGGAAATGTGCCGGACAATGGAGACAGTCAAATGTCCAAGAATTGGCAAAATGTTATCTGTGCAAGATCACACATCGGCGCGAGAAAGCTAATATCCGCCGACAAAGTACCCCAAAGTACGACGTCACAGGCGGATAAGCAGCGTGGAAACTGCTTTAATTGTCATAAGCCTGGACACCGCATGAGAGACTGTCCTATAATGAAGCTGATCTTTGATCCGCATTCAAGTATGCTGTTTGTACATTTCCTTGATATGAAACCAGTCCGAGTATTGTGGCTAGCGCCACCAACACTCGAAAGGTAACAATCCGTGCGACAGGCGAAAACGATTCCACGTTGTCAATTCCTGGCTGCTGATGGTTTCCTAATCCTACAAATTTAAACAAAATCGAGTAATGAATTCTTGGTCATCAGTCTTCACGTGGAATCTCCACATTAATCCTAATTTCGTTGGGGCTTCTGTTTCATCAATCGGAACCAGTACTCCTTTAGAAACATGGCGTTCACCTCGTTCTTTATACCAGCATACCACTCGTCTTTTTGCGGCGTCTTCATCGCTTCAGTAAAGCTTCTGGGAATCTTGGTCTCATTTTGCTCGCCATCTATGTCTCGCTGTAATACTTTCGCTATTTTCTTGGAGTGCAGCATTCACAAGGTACCCCTCAAGCCACGACAGGTATCGGCGCTCTGTTGACTGGCGCAAGACCATTTTTAGTGGCCTTCCTTCGTTATCGCGCCTCTTGTACATCCTCTAGCTTTGCATCCAAAACTTCCCTACGTTCACTAGTAATTATTTCAGGAATCTTGCACGTATCCATCAGGCCATTGCTGGACTCACTCGTTGTCTCACCCTCGCGTGAATGTACTGTATCCTTGGTGGTGGTAGGTAGTTCTGTATCTGCATAGACTTGCCCTCCTTGCGGTGGGTAGCCTTGTACCTTTCGTCCTCATCCTCGCTGTTACTGTAGACGGGCACTTCTATAAAGTTGCCTCGTACTACGAGCACACACCTTATGCACAAGCGAGGAAGCGGTTATACCGTCTTACCTTCGCGTGCGAGGGTGGTTGGGAGGTTGGTCGACTGCTTAAGCAGTCGTACCACCAGTTGCCTCTCGCTTAAGCGAGAGTGCAACGAATTTCTTAACACTTAGAACACCGACGTCACGCAGAAGTCTTCCAACTTCTCGTGCGTGGTGTTTCTGTTTAAGGAAATTCAAGACTGAGATATATTTAATTAATTATAACTAAATATATGTTTAACTACTGATTGGTTAATATGTAATGATGGGTGCCATCTCTATAGGTGCGCATCCCAACGTGCGAGCTTAAATATATTTAAGCTCGCTCAATGACGTAACTGAATGTCGTCATTTGATGACGCCTAGTCCCAGCTGGGCGTCATCCCCATCAATGTGAATACATCTAGAGTATATCACATACGCAAGGGTGTGACACATGGTGTGTCTCACCCGAGCGACAGGGCTTAAGTACTTACGTACCTTCTAAGACCTGCCCGTTAAGTATCGCATACTTAACGGGTACGTGTAACGTTGAGCCCGTTACACCATCCCCCTTTTAAAACGATTTTTACATCTTGTAAAACATCGCCTAGGAGACAGAGTGACTTGCGAGCCGTTTTATAAACGCGCCGCTTTAGTCTGCTCAATTCTCATGCCACCGAAACGTGGTAAGGCTGATGGGTCGCCTGCAAAGGCACCCATGCAGTCCAGCACTAAGCGCACGCGCCGCGATTTATCGCAGCCGTCGCAAAGTGCGTCAGTCACTGGGGTCTCACGATAATGTGGATGAAGATCCATCTCTCATTGTAGACTACAATGAGAACTACACCACTGCCATCACCCCAAAGTGGAGATGAGCAAAGCGCATTGATGGGACATATGTCCCCATCAGTTGAGGCACCCGTCCTTGAGGAAGCATCTATGCTTCCTACAAGCGAAGGTAAAGCCTCGTCGTCTGCGCCTACGAGCGCAGCGACTATGACTGAGCACGCTACTTCGAAAGGAGTAGTCGCGACTCAGTCAGATGTTACTTCTCAGGCTGATGTCTTGACAATCCATAATGGAGAGTCAGACTCAGGTGAGTGTGAGCTTAAAGCTTCACCAAGTACACCTTCGGCCTCACTAGCCCGCCGTCGCGAGGGCGGCTACGTGAGTGGTGGCTTGCCACCAATGCCACCTCCGTCTGAGTGGATGAACTCGGATGGGTCTAGCGCAGCGCTTTTGCAGCGTGCCACTATAGACGCTCATAGATTCTATAGCGTCTTTCCTTTGTGGATAAAGCAAGGCAAAGCACTTGGTCGTGCTTTCCCAATTTCAGTCGTGCTGCGTTCTAACGAAACAGCCGACGACTATGAAGCTGAACTTCGGCGCCGTGTTACCTTGCATGAAGATGCAACTAAACAGCGGTCGCAGCGAATCAGCTTCTCCATGAAGCGTGCGCATGAAATTATGGGCGGTAAGCGACCCCCAATTAATTCTCGCCACGCTTCTTCTGCTAGTCCTTCCGGACCTAGCAGAAAGAAGACAGCTGGTGCTGCTTCACATAAGCAGTCACCAGCCCAGGCACGTCAACACGCAAAGCGTCCACAGGCTCCCACGAGTCAAAGCTCGTTTGGTAACCCTTCCACTGGACAAGGATTCGAAGCTTTCGCTTCACAAAACGGTGGGCCAACAGCCTTCCAACAAGGAAGCGCGTGTTCCCATCCGTGTCCACCAACACAGGTGGCGCCCGATAGGAGTGGCGATTACGCCCACCTACTCGCGGCTGCCTAACCTGCTGCTGTTCAGTCGCAGGCTGAGTCTGCTGCGCTGAAGAGACAGGTGACAGATCTCGAGAGTCAAGTCTCGCGACTGACTTTGGATCTGCGCGATGTGAGGACGAGAGACCGTCAGGGGTATGACCGCCTGAAGACCCGTTTGGACATCTTAGAGCGACTGGTGATGAGAGACCCGCGTCAAGCGCGGAGTCCTCCTCAATCACCGAGTCCTCTATCGCCTCGTTCATACACGGGGAGCCTCTCGGCTTCCTCGTCGCCTGATCGGTCGCGACGCTCGACTCACAGTCGGCGTCACCATCGGTCTCGTTAGACCGATGCGGATATGTGATCTCGTCTGGATCAACATACCGTTTCAGACGACCCACGTAAAATACGGGGTGCGTCTTCATATACGGTGGGAGAGCGAGCCTATAATTTAGGTCTCCAACTTCTTCAACCACTGTAAAGGGCCCAATGAACCGGGGCAATAGCTTAGTAGTACCACCAGGTAGTACAGAAATTGCATGTTTAGGTAGGGTAACAGTACTTAATAGCACTTTGTCCCCCCCACACTAAAGTGTTCATTGTTTTTGCGACCATGCTGGTCTGCATATTGTTTTTGCTTGTCCTGTGCGCTTGCCATCGCGTCACGGACTTTACGTGTGATGGCTAATCGCTCATCCACAAAGCGCTGAGCTTCGATCACGCTTTTAGCATCCAGCTCGCCTATGACGCCTCCAAGAGGTCGTTCATGGGTCGACGCTGTTGACAACACTATAGTGTCATCGTCTTGGAGCACTGGCATTACTTGCCGTGCCTCCTTT